TATAAAAAAAAAAAAAAAAAATTTTTATTTATTAGAGGGGGCTACACACAGGAAGAGGGCTATTGAATTGCATTGCACACACACACACACACATAGAGAGGCTCGCACAACAAACTGTTTATGAATGCAACTTGCGTCTTTTGCCGCTTTACACCTAAACCCCTCCTCGCCCCCGCTCTCCCTTGAGTGCTTATCTGGCAAACGCATTTGAAGCATTTACTTCCACCTACAATAAATTAATTTCATAAGCAAATTTTGCAAGGTGACTGACTGCAAGGGCGAAAGCGGGCGCGGGGCGGGTACTGGGGCAAGGGCAGGGACAAACAGTTGCAAGGGACACGGACAATTCAATCAAAGGCAGCAACAGGTAATAGCAGAAACAAAGAGATAGGGAGAGAGATACAGAGAGAAGGAGAGAGAGACAGGGGAATGAGAGATTGATGGAAAAAAGAGAGGAGAAAGACGTAGAAAAATAAAGAGATGGAAAGGGAGTGAAAGAGATAAAGAGCGAGAGAGAGAGAGAGAGCGAGAGAGAGAGACAGAGACAGAGGGAAAGGGAGAAAGCTAAAACCACTGCTTCTTAACTTAACAGCAGATGTTAACAGTGAGTTAACAGTGAGTGATAATTATTCATACATCGACTATTAAGAGAGAAAATCAGAGATAGAGACAGAGAGACAGATATGAAGATTACATTGCATTAAGAGTAAAGTGAAAATGGTCAATCCAATGTTCAAATTTACTTTAGACTGAAAACTAAGTGGAGAATGATTAGAAATTAAGAGCAAATGGTTAGCAGGAAAAGAAATTGCTTAGAGCTAACAGAAGGTAAACGATTTTGAATTGAATCGATACATTATCTATTAGCTGTTAAAACTCTTCTATTTCGGTATCATTAAAATTATGTTACTATTGTATAATAGATAATATTTGAATATTTGGGTATATGAATTGGCACAGCAACTTTTACTAGATACTGTTAATAGCTTTACTTAGTTACTGTTAAATGTTACCAAAACGATAATCAACAACAAAATGAAACGGAAAAGGAAATCGAGTGTAACCGGAAGCTCTATGAAGGCTATATGAAGTACCATGAAAGCCTATCATAACTATCATATAGTTAGATGATATCTATGTAGTTTGATAACTATTAAAAGCAAACTCTTTATAAATTTGATTAAAGTATATTGAAGATGTAGGAAAAAAGTTAAACAATTGAATAAGACACAAAATGTAGGTGAGCTCGGGAAAAGAGACGAACTGAAAGATGCGGAAGTGTTTAACAACGCACAGATACTAATGATAACCATCTATCTGTGTGTGTGTGTGTGTGACGGCTGTCTGTGTGAGGCAAGCTCATTAGCAACAGGTGGGGGCCAGGTAGGTAGGCAATGGGGGGACGGGGGATAGGCAGGCGAGTCTTCACTGCTGGCCAGACAGTCTCATGTTTGGGTGTTGGCGCTGCTTGCAGTTCCGTTAGCTCAACGAGTTGCAGCCAGGCGGAAAATGCGGGAAACAGCACACGATGTTGTTGTTTATGGTTATTGTTCTTCTGGCTGTTGTTGTTGTTGCAGTTGCTGTTCGCGAGTGAGCGGAAAAGGTGACGTAGCAGAAAAACTAACGGCTTGGCGCAAAGGTTCACTCACCTGCAGGGTATGAAACGATCCAACGATGTTGGCGTTGTGGACGCTTCCAGATTGTCGAATAGATTTCTAGCCACGGGACTGCAGTGCTTCAGGATGCGTTTCTCAAACTCCGGACTGAACATTGTAACTGATTATTGTTGTTGTTGCTGTTGTTGTTGTTGCTTACACAATTGGCTATTGTGAATGCTCAGCTTTAATCGCGATTCGATGTAATGCGAGTCGATTTGATTAACTGGAATACAACACGGTATTTGCACAGTTCGCGTTTTGAGCCGAAAGAAAAAAAAAAAAGAGAACAAAACGTTGCCAAAAACAAAACACAAAATGTATGGAAAAATAAGCAAGGTTTTCCAATTATTTTCTTCTTCTTTCTCTCCTTCTGCTTTTTAACCAATTGCAACAACAAAATGCCAAATATTTCCACAACAAAAAATTATATTCCTAAGCTCGTCGTCGTTAGCTATTTCTTGATTCTGATGCTGCCGCCGTTGTTGTTGTTGCTTCTTCCTATTATTATTATTATTATTATTATTATTCCTCTTGTTCTATTTATGTTAAACTTTGGTATTGCCGAATCGTACAAAATATATATTTATATATATGTATATACATATATAATTGGGTATTATGGATGTTTGTTGCTATACATTCATGTATATGGAGCTGGCAATATATCTACGAGATATATATCTAAATCGAGACGGTGCGCTGTAAAGAGAGAGAGAGAGAGAGGGAGAACGAAAAATATATATTATTATGTTGAAATTAATTTGGATTGATTTAAATGTTTTTAATATTTGCTCATATCTCAAGCAGATACCCTGTAATTGGGCAGAGGCTCAATCGAAGCATATTGCTTGACGTGAATATATGGAGTTATATAGCTTTTAGGTATGTCTATATCTATCTATTGTTTGATATATTTATAATATGTTTATCTTCTATTCTTATATTTAATAGCTGAAAGCCAAGCCGAGCTTTTAACAGGGTATTTGATCGCGACAGCCCATCAATTTCAACTCGACTAGAAATTTGAATAAAATTGTAATTTGTTTTTTGGTCGACAGTTTGCAAGTCAGGTCATTAATCAACGTCGTCTAGCAACAGCAGGGAGTACAACGTGGTTCTAGGCTTTCAAGATATGGCCAAAATGTGAAACAATGCGAGCGAGAAAGAAAGAGAGAGAGAGAGGGAGAGAGTGTAAGTTATGCCGATCAACGACAGCTAGTTTTGGGCAAATTCTCTGGCTGGCTTTTGGCTAACATGGGCTGGTGGGCGTATCAATCTATATATAGGGTGTCTATGCGGCCGTCCGCCTGTCCGTCCGTCTATCTGTCCGTGTGTCGCTGCTGTCCATTTGTAACGCCTGTCATGTTATTCGAATGTTATGCCCAACGCATGCGACGCGCATACTGAGAAGCTGGCCATCTATTGGGCTGGTGTACTGGTTCTGGCCAGGCTTAGACGTCAGCCAACTCGTTGCCAATTCAATTGCTGGGCAGCCCATCAATTGGCGTGCTCACTGCTAATTAGTGGCTGGGCGTTAACTGTTGCCTGCTGGCCTGGTCAAGAGAGAGAGCGAGAGAGAGAGAGAGCGAGAGAGAGACGTGGCTAGGACGGGGATTCGCGGCTTATACATACCCAGTGCAGCGTGAAATGCAAGCAGCTTGAAGCACTTCCGCGTTCACCTTAGACACTCACATATACACAAACAGACACAGACACATGTGTGTGGGTGTGTGTGTGTGCTCGTCTTCTGGGTTGACTTTTGATTGAATTGGATGTCTTGAGGTATTGGATACAAAATATACATAGATGTATCTATATATATACATATAATTCACACATATATACACGCGTCTCTAACGTTACACATGTACACCACTGTATAAGCGCATATATATACATAAATATATATATATGCACAAGTATATAATTAACTAATTATGGATTTATATATGTATATATACAAATATAGAATTTATCGAACTGACTACGAGGGCAAACATCAACTGACTGACTTGGCACAGTCAAAGACTTTGACATTTAGCTCTGCGGCAGGTAGTAGCAGCGGCGGCTAACGTCAGGTACACACACATATCCATACGCACACATATATATTTATATATCGTTAGTGTGGTTCAGACGTAAGCCTCGCTCCGTGCTGTGCACTGATAAGCCCTTATCGCAGCACAAACACAAACAATGCGGGCACAAATGTGAAATGAGTCAATCCCAGGGACTTGCCTGTTCGAGCATGCAGCCCAGCCCAGCTATGACTCGATGAGCAACAAGTGCCACTAGGGGCGATGTAGATCATGGCAACAGGGCACAGGGGGCAGAGGACGGACGGGTTGGAGCTTCGCTGGAATCGCAGGTTGCCTCACCAAAAACTTTTTGATTGCGTACATGGTTCGAAGTAAATTTCAATTCGATCGATACACTCAACTAGAAAACAGACAGAGAAAAGGGGGAATATGGGACTAAGTAACACCTAGCAATGAGTATTCTAGTATTAATTTTACCAAAGCCCCATTTCATAATTCCACTGATTCCACTGATCCATCTGAAACAAAGGAACAGTATAGTCTGTGAACTGAAAGGATAGAATCCTGTTCAAAGAAGGCGAAGGAGGAAAAAGAAGAACCAATCAACATCAAATACTATACAATTCAGGAAGAGGAAAGAGTAGTTTCATCAAGATAGCTCCACTATAGAAGGATGGTCACAATTAAGGAGTTACAGATCGAATTGCTTTAGCTATATACGATACATTTAGCTCCTTAGGATTATTTTCTATTGCAAAATTAGTTAAAAGTGGTAGAAGATTTGCTAACAAGGAAGTGATGGAGTCTAGGATAGATGAGGATTTCTATTAGTTAGTTGGTTAGGTTAAATTTGCTGTGTTTTTTTGCTAAATCGGGAATTTCTTATATAAGACTTCTAGACTTTGGTTTACAGCTAGACTTAATAGGCAGGTATGTCAATTTACGCCATGCTTATGGAGTATATTGGGTAGGTTTTCTAATAACTAGCATAGTTTCAAAAACTTAAAGCACATACATGTACATACATATGTATGTATATATACACATATATGATATGGATATGAATGTAGCTACACTAAAGCAATTACGCAACGCCTCCAATAATAGCCCGTATATTTTGTATGGAGAGCGTGCCTCGAGAGGCAACGCAGTGAAGGGAGATGCTGAACAGCGCGGGTATACAGAGCGATAGAAGATTAGAAACTAATGAAAACCAAATATTGACTTCAAATACATAAAATGGAGCAACCGAGGAAATCAAGCAATGGAAAACTAAAACATAGTACCTAATTCAATCCACTGTATTGTTAGTTGAACATAGCGTATGCATACTGAACAGCGCGGGTATACAGAGCGATAGAAGATTAGAAACTAATGAAAACCAAATATTGACTTCAAATACATAAAATGGAGCAACCGAGGAAATCAAGCAATGGAAAACTAAAACATAGTACCTAATTCAATCCACTGTATTGTTAGTTGAACATAGCGTATGCATA